AGTTGTTGATAGCAGCATGAAATGTTGGTTTCAGATGGATGAAAACAAGTGTTGTCGCTCTTTGAATGACTTTCTATTACGTTATACCCAAATAGATATTATTCGTTACGTGTACAAATGCTTTCTTCAAATATGCAATCCGTGTGAAGTTCTTTCCACAAATATTACATATTTGCACGTATATAGTTTTTCACCGATATGTGTGCGCTTGTGTCTATTCAAGTTACCAGAAGTTGTGAAGCCCATCCAGCAAACATCGCATATGTACGGTTTTTCACGGGTATGTTGTATACGTTTGTGTTGGTTCAAATTATCAGCAAATGTGAATCCTTTTTTGCACATATCACATATGTACGGTCTTCCATCAATATATATGCGTTTGTGTGCGTTCAAATTACCTAAACGTGTAAATCCATTTTTGCACACACTGCATATGTATGGCTTCTTTCTGGTTTATGTGCACATGTAGTACGTGCATGTGGCTTCTGTGGGGCATGTGCAGCTTATTTAGCCACTAAATAAGTTCTTCGTTGCAAATTTTTCTAGCATGCATCATCTTCTACCCTTGTATACTCTTCCAGACAATATATGTGAACTTGGAGTTCACGTTGAACCGTTTGTAATTTATGATAGTTTGCTACCCTTTTGTAACAGCGGCATTAAGAAGCTTTTTCATAATAGTTTATTTATCACAAAGTTGTCAGCGAAGTTAAATTCAGAAAGATAGATGAAAAAGTATTGGACGAAATTCTTTCTTTTTTGGGTCAATTTTTTTAACCAACAAAGCACAGGATTTCCGACATATATTTATCATAAAAGTAGTTCTCAAGAAAATTTCAAATCACACATTAGCGAATAAGAATCTGAAAAGAAATTTGTTTATCACTTGAATATTTTTAATATTCATTCTTGAAAAATGAACTTTTATTGATATTGAATATCAATAAAAATCATGCATTTAAAATTGTAATTACAGCGTTCACTTGTTAATATCGTAGCAGGGGAACTGCTTATATTTCCAGTTCATTTTAAATCTTACTCCATTTCGATTAACCGGTCGAAAGATGCGAAATTTGTCCATCCATACTTTGCATTTTGTCGCAGTTAAATCCTGAAATGCTTTCTGCTTTACTTTCTGACAGGATAATCGAATTGTTTCCACTGAAAATAATTGCGCACTTACTTCAGTAGTTTATGCCGCATTTTCCCCAAAAATCTTCTAAAAAAAGTAAATGATTGAAAAAAGACATTCTGGCTGATGTTGCGCATTAAATGTAATGTTTACAAACTTTTAAATAATATTCAATTGATGTTAAAAGGTGGGTATAAAGCAGAAAAGTAGTACTTGATGCTTGAAAAATCGTTTCGAAAATATTGAAATTAGAAAATATTTTCATGCATTTTCAGTAAGCTAAATTATGATAATTTCTGCTCACAGTGATTGATCTAAGCTAACTACTAAACTAAGAGATCTGCTGATATTATTCATGTGCTAAAAATGCGATGAAATTCATACAAAGTAGTGATCTGATTCTCCAGTGCTTGTTGAATTTAAAGCCGATTGAAAGAGTGATTGCTCGTGTTTGTCTATGTATTTTTTAATACAAACTATAGCGCAAGGAAATAGCAGCGCGTACAAAGGAATCATTTGAACACCTGAAATTGAATCTGAAACCAAAGTGTTTTGTGATAATACTTTGCATTGCCAAACTATTTTTGTTTTGCTCTTTACAAAGTTTGTGGCGTCGAATGTGCGATATTTGTCTGCTCCAACTAATGTT